TTACCAAAACCCCTCTGTAAATGCCTGGCCCCAGACCTGCAGGTGCCTGGCCCTGCTTCCACTGAAATTTGTGGGTCAAGGAGGTGTGATTTTTTTTTTGAAAAGAAATCGGAGGGGAGACCTGCTTGTTCCCCTGTGAGTTACAGGACAGTTGTTCATTTCCCTTTTAGATGGGAATTCTTTCAGCTGCTACAAAAGCTGCACAAAACCAGGCYTGACGGTTGTCAAAAATTCCTATCTAGAGCAGGCAGGAATCTTGCTCGGAAGCTTTCATCCCTTCCTGTGCTCTGAAAGGGAGTGCGGGGCTATCGGTAAGCACCAAAGTGAAGTGAGATGGAGGCCCCAGAAATCTCCTTCCCCTCTTCCCAATAGKCTCACTGCGCTCTGACTCGTTACTCCGTGAGCAAAGCAGCTCCCTAGCCTGGCTGCTCTTGCCCGGTTGCCTGTCTCTCCCAGTGCAGGTGTCTGAAGGGCAGTGAGTGACGATGCTGCCACCAAAAGCCCGTGGCTGCTCCTGAGGCTGCTTGTGGCCTTATCTGTCATTTCCAGAGGAACACAACGTGGACAAGCTCCAAAATGACAACTGTGCTTGGAAGCGACTGTTGGCATCAGTGCGGACTTTTGGGAGCCAAGCTCAGGTGACTGCGCGGGGACCTCTGTCCCTCCAGCTTTCCATTTTTGCAGTTACAGTGACTGGAAAAGGGAGAGCTGCTCTGAACACGGCGCTGGCCTCCCATGGGCTTCGGACTGAGATGAGGTGCAAGGGGGTCTGGGCAGGGGCCGGAGCCTCTGCCCGYGCCCGGAGCCCTGCGGAGCCGCCTGCCGGCTCCAGGGCAGCAGATTCCAGCCCATTTCCCTGGTCCTGCCGGGCTGCAGGCCAGGAGCAGCTATGGAGAAGCAACCCCTGCTCTGCAGGGCTGGGCTCGTGGGGACAGCCAGCGTGGGGAGCCTGGCCGAGAGCYGTGAATTCCTGGGAAGTGTGTGCAGGGGGGTAAAAGGGGCTGTTAATCGGCYGGCTCTGCCCTCGCGGCGCACCTACAGCCCCTCCAACGAGAGCAAAGACACCCTGCTCTCCAAGCCCTCCCAATGGGCCGCTCCAGCCAGCGGCCCCTGGGATGAGCCGGTACCTGCAGAACTCGGCTCCGGCTCGTGCCCGGGATGGCCTCAGGCGTGTGATTATCCCTGATAACCCGGAGTGCCGCGCAGCTTAAAGAACAACTTGACTTCTACATTTTCAAACTAACTCTTAGGTAGTTTCTAAGCAACCTGTTTCCATGGCAAAGAATCCTGGGGTTAATCCAGGTTTGTTTTCTGTTGTTGCTTTTTTAACTTAAATATAATTTTATTAAATCTTGCCCAACTGTTTTAGTGTACTTCTGCTCAGCTTTCAAATGACAGCTGTCAAAAAATATCCACTAAACTACAGAGTCAACCGAAAGGTGTCTTTAATGCCATATAATCAACTTCAGTATCTAAAAAGGTCCAAAAATAGCTCCTGTTTGTTCCAGTTGTACTAAACAACTTGTTCTACTGGCTCAGAGTGGAGTTAGGACTATTTTGTTGCTTTGTTTTTTTTTTTTCCCCAAGGTCTAAGGAAATCTACAGCAAACAGGCCCAATATGAACAGACTGGCAAAAGAACAAGTGTTCCTGGCTTTTGCATCTCGGCTCAATGTTAACTAGACCCAACTGACCTCAGGCTTCAGTGATGACCGAGAGAAAAAATATTCCTGCATCAGGGAGAAAAAAATAATCTATATCCAGGATGTCGACCAAAAGGTCAAACGGTAAACCTCAAGAGAATTAAGTGTGTTCATTTCAAAACAGTCACCTTAAGTTGAAAAAATGCTGAACTGTTCTCTCTGAAAGTGGTGAGGTGTGCCAATAGCAGTTTCTTATTCTCTTTTCCTTCATTTTTGTTTTGAAAGTGAGAAGCCTGTGGAGGCTGATGCAAATTGATAAACTGATCATAATCTCAGGTTTTATGTACTGCAGCTTTCAATTACAACTTCTTCCCCTCTGCCCACTGCCTTTTCTTACCTCTCCTGCAAACTCCTCAGCTGTTCCAGCGCCCCAGGCACATTACCAGAGCTGCAATGACTTTCAATAAAAGCAAAGGTGTAACTCCTGTTTCCTGGCTTTCCCAAGCTCTTCTTCAGTGCATGCATGTAACTATTTGCTTATTTTACAAGCTTTGAATAATATTTCCCCCCCCCCCCCGAATATTACCAGCAGCCACTTTCCAATAAAGCTGGCTGTAGCACTTTCTCTTCCTCAGACCTAGGGGAGCTCAGTTTTCCCCAGCACCTATTTCTGCCTGTTGAGTATTGCACTATGCATGTACCACGTTCATTTACTCCCCCTGGCTYATCTAATAAAACTAGAGGCCCCACAGATGAGATTAAACAGCCTTCCTCCAGCACGCTAACATCTCTGGAAGATGGACAATGCTGCTTCTTATGTGTTTTTTTTTTCCCTTTTCTTTTCCTCCTTTTAGCTTCAGCACGTTAGCCAGAAGTTCCTGTTCAGCCCTTTACACGGCTACAGAATCCTCACTTCAGAATCAGACCGTGTCAATTGGAGATGCAAGGGGCTGACCTTGCTCCTGGCAGGTCACCACTCATGGATTCAGTTAGAATCCACTAAGGTGAGTGATAGGAACTACTTTCTGCTGGAAAACATCACTTGGCATAAATCAAAATGGCAAGCTGATTCCTAGTATCTTTTTATCTTGTATGACTTCTGCAGTAATAATGCTAGGYTGTCATGACTTACTCTTAGCCCAAGTCACAATGTGAGATTATTCGTTGTATCTGTTTTTAGCAGCAATTTAAAATGCAGAACTTTTCATGCAGCAGGCTGATAACTTTACCCTTGCTAAGATACAAAGGGCCTTCCACATGACAGTTCGAGTTTGCAGAATTATTTTCAGGCACATGGAGAGCAAAGAAAAGAAATGGGGCTTACAGGCATCTGGTGCTTAAGCAGCTTTAGAAAGGAAGCTGGAGCATGGCTGAGAAGTGATTCTTATCATGCAACTGCAGCTCATTGTTACGGTACACACTAATTTTGACTGTTGCAATTTGAAGCTGCTTAACGTGTACAGTTAAAAGGCAAAAGTACTACCATATATGCATGGCTGATATCAGGCCAGGCATGATGTGTTCCTTGATGAACGTGTGTCTGGGCAACAGAACTACCCCAGCGAGCTGCCTGCAGGAGACTTTGCTTTGTTCAATGAAATACGTAACRTGTGGTGCACAGAAGACAAAGGGGTGGCAGCGTGGAATGTGGCACTTGTCATGTAAAATCAAAATACCCCATAGCAGAAATTACTCTTGCCTTGAGCTTTGCTCCCCTTTTCTCCCACCACWGCAAGCTTGCTTGTCAATAAAACTTCTAATGGCTGTCGTACCATAAAGCTAATTCAGTGTTTCTCCCACTGCTRTTAAATTACACAGCTTTTTAGACCACTGGGTTGTGATTTAAAAGCTTCAGATCCCCAAAATCTAAACGAATCCTGATGTTCTGCTTTGCATGCAGACAGGGAAGCTATATTGTATTAAGGATATACAGTCCCTCAGCTAAGAAACCCTTTGCAGAAAAAATGCTGCTGGAGCCTGCTGCGATGCAATAAAAGCCACTAAGGTAAAAATAAACCTATTCTGAGCAGCTCAGGAGAACAAACAGCAAGGGAGGGCTGCAGCTTCTGAGAGCTCGGCACAAAAGCCCTTCCTGCCCCTGGGGAAGCCGCCCTGGGCTGAGGGGACGGAGCGTTTGTGCCCTCCTGGCAGCCTGTGCTCCGAACCCTGCAGCGCTGGCCGAGCTGCCCGCAGCCAGCCAGGGAGGGACAGCCCGCAGACAACGGGGCTTCAGCAGCAAAAGGAATGTCTGCTTTCCTTGGTCACTCGACATGTTCTTAAACTGACTGTTATCTACCGAAATCGCTGGGCTTCTCTTTCCAGGTGACAACATATGACAATAGCAGCAGCTTATCCTGACAGCAGGGCACGCAGAGCAGGGCTCTGAACACCAACCAAATCTGCCAACGCTTCACAGATGTAATGTGTGTACATGTAGAGTGTTTCTACCCTTCCAAGCCCTCCCAGCCTTCTCTGAGCAAGGCAGTGAAGACACCAGTGCTAGGATGGACAGGATTCCAAACAAATCCCTATGTGGCTGAGCCTGGGAAAGAGCTGTCTCTTTGCAGGCTGGCAGAGGGAAAGGCAAGTCATTTGACTTGGTSCCACTCCCAACCTGTTTTTCTGATGGTTTGGATCCACATGGATAATTTAATTCTAAATAGGCTTTACTGATTGAGCTTGCAAGGCTGCACGGTGTTTTAAACAAGACTGATGAAAAATTCTGGAGCCTTAGGGAAATTTTGATGTTGGCAGGTGAGACCTTGTTGGTTCTGGTGCAAATTTGATGTCTGGGAGCTAGGACTGAAAGAGGGGTATAAAGCTCCCTTGAGAAGTCTCTGCAGCAGAGGGGCTGAGGTGATGACGTGTGGGGATGGGAAACAGAAGCGTAACAGAAGTAGGTATCAGCCTGCAGAAGGTGAAAGCATCAGCCCCTAGTGACGTGCTACACAGGCACGTCTGACACATTCACCTGTGTAATTGTCTTCCACCTGCAGTTTTATCCCACCAATAGGCCAGAAGTCTTAAGAATTCTAGTTTAAAAGGTGCAGAAGCAAGCAGCATTTCTTTCCCTCTCTCCCCAAATGAATTGAGAGGTAATTTGAAAACAATCAATACTTCCTGGACAAGCTCATCTCTCTGGGTCATTTTAGTAGTAACTGTTACTTCACCAGYGAAAGGAGCTAACTTCCATGAGGGGCTCTTCTAAAGGACTCAAATACATTGGAGAGGAATGGGAAAAGGTGCAAAAGGGGGGAAAAAAAAAAAAAGGGGGGGGGGTGGGGGGTGATGGTGGTTCCTGGGCTCTCCCTCCCCACGCTCCCCCCGTGCCTGCTGCACCTGCAGCTAGGAGAAGACGTTACCTCTGGGCAGCTTCCTGCAGCTTCCTGGGCTGCCTGGCGCTCAGGTACATCAGACTGGCATTTGCCACTTTATTCAGGTCACTCTCGCCTGCAGAAATGGAACAGAGCAGGACGGTAGGAGGTAACCTACTGTGCTGCTGCTGCCTAATGGGCTCTGCTYGGAACTGGCAGCAAGTGGCTTCTGAGCCTTCCAGCTGTCTGACCCAGGGCTCTTCTGACCTGTCCCCTTGAGCATTTGCTGAGAGCTGAGAAAACAATCAAGGGCACTGAGAGAGGACAAGAACAACTACAAGCAAACCTGTTCCCTCACCAAAGCTGCGTCCAAAAACCTGCCCCAGGAGAATTTCATTGGTTCTCTCAGTGCTGCATTGAAAGGGATGTATCCAGAGGGAAGCCTCCAACTGGAGCCAGTCAGCCTAGCCCGAGGCTTATCTGGGCTCCAGCTCTTCAGTTAATTAAGAACAAAGCTTGGGCCAACCCCACTGGCTGCAGCAATCCAGGAACTCCCCTTAAAACCCATTTCCACACACAGGTGGGATGAGCAGTCCAATTCTACGAGGTATTTGGAGTATTTTCCACCCARCTGTTCCTTGGGTAGAAAAATGACCATCCTCTTTACAGGTTCTCAAYGAAGAGAGATTAATGCCCAGCACGACCTGAAAGGGATGAGGCTAAGGAACATCGGGAAACCAAGCCTGTGGGGCAGCAGGGGGATATGAAGTAAATATGGGCCTAGTTCTAGCTCTGACCAAAGGAGAGGAGCTAAGCCCAGCAGACATCTCATGCCGCCTAACAGCGTGGCTGGTACTCACCCATGGCTAAGTTCTCGCACAGGGAGCCCAGGCCCTGCAAGACGGCCAGCTGTAACTTGAAGGCGAGCGTGTGGCTGTACACGGGTCCCGCTCTGGCACTGGCCGGCGCCTGGCTGAGCAGGGAGCTGGCCAGCTTGGGCAGGACGTCCTTGGAAAACCTTTGCCTCAGAAAGTCCCCGCACTTCTGAGCCAGGGTACAGAGCACCTGATGGAGAGACAGCAGTAAGGGCGGATACGGAACTGAGGTGTCTGCTCCGCAGTGCTGTGCCCAGCAACCCTCACAGCTCTGGGGCTGCTCATTCTCCCTTGACAGCTGTTTGCTACCAGCTCTTGAGCCTACCAGCTCTTCCACACCGAGCAGAAGGCACACGCTTGGTGGAGAAGGCCAGAAAGCAAGAACCAAACAAAYGGCTGAGGCTGTGGTCAGGTAAGGGGTAAGCTGCACTATGCAGTACCTCTCACTGCTGCTTAGGCTGCACAGTAACTGCTCTCCTCTCCCCTGTACTAAAAGCTAACACTGCTGTTTCCTGCAGGAAGAGTCACGATATGATSCGTGGACAAGCTGTGAGGGTGGTTCCATTCTACCCACTACCGGGGGCACCCCACTATTTTAAGCCACCCTTAAAAAAACCAACCCAGCAAAAACCAACCCCCCAAACCTCTCTACCAGGCAAGCGCTTCTCCTGCAGGCCGCAGCAGGAGCTCAGCTGCTTGCTGTCTGAGCACTAACTTGAGGGCTGCTGGCGAGGAACCACTGCGGTACCTTGAAGGCTCTGAGCACGGCCAGGGGGTCATCGCTAGTCAGCCGGGAGACGAGCGCCGGCCAGAGCCGATGAGCCATGGGAAGCAGATGGTTTCCGTGAGGATGCAGGACAGTCACACAGAGCTCCAGCACGTCCAGGACCTGTGCACGGGGTGACAGATTTTGAGTGCTGCAGGGCCAGCAATGCCCGGCATTCAGCTGGACCCCGGAGCTGTCTCGGGGAGCAAGGAGGGCTATGGAGGAAAAGGACAGAGCTTTAGCTCGCTATGAACTGGGGTCAAATGAACAGACCTGCTCTGGCAGCGACACGGAGAGTGGTGACATGACTCCTGCTGGGCTGCAGGGCTGGGCTGCCTGGGACACGCGAGGTTTCTGCCCRATCCTGCAACCTGAGCTGTGCACCAGGACCCTGGTGCCGCTACGGAGGAGCGGCGGACCCGCCCAGCACGACTGCGGCCTCCCCGGTAGGAATCTGGGTTATGCCTCACTGCTGCATTTTCTGTCTTGCTTTGCACTTTAAAAGGAGGCCACCTTCAAAGGATTCTTCATAATTAAAACCCAGTCTTTCAGCCCTGCTTATCATCACCCTAGAAACTTCTGAAATGTTTATYGGTCTCTGCACTACGGTTTGAGGAAAGGGGGATGGGAGTCCTAGATGGAAGATCTTTCTCCTGCTCAGRCTGAGGCACAAGAATTAACTATTACAAGCACCAGGGAAAGACTCTTGACACGAAGCCACTGCTGAGACTGCAGTCTGTTCGGGGAATGGCAGCCAGGAGACTCTTGCCAACGCTTGGAGGGTCTCTCCGCTACCCTCATTGCTGCAGAAGGCCCGCGGCGCCTTGTGCACACGCGGATGAAGCACCAGCCCCCCAGGGGCACCGCGGCCCCCCAGCCAGCACCTCCGAACCTTCAGCCGCGCTCGGAGGCTCCCGTGGGAGAGCAGGTGGATGCACCTCTCTAGGACGTCCTTGGCCAGCTGAGCGTGGCTCGGCAGCGGGGCCTCCCCTTCCGCCTCCGCAGCGGGAGCCTCCGGCTCCGCAGGAGGAGGGACCMGATCTGCAAAACAAAACCACGATAGTGAAAGTGCTGCGAGACCCCAACCCCCTTGGAGCTCCTCTGCAGAATCCCAAATAGAGCCTGGGCATCTTTGCGTCAGGTTCAGTCAAGCCTGCGCTCGAGTTCTGAGTTGCCTGGCTCATTTGGTGACGGTGTGGGACTGGGGAAAAGAGGCTTTGCTTTTGTTACTGGGCACTGTAGTTAGCCTGACATTTGTAGTTTCTCCTCACCACAGACTTCCTTATTTCCCATTGATTTTTATTGAAAATGAAAAGGCTGGCTATTTAAAGATGATGCATTTAAAGGTCAGGACTGCAGCACAGTCCAGTAAAGAGACAGCAAATGTTCCCTACACGGATGTTGGCAGGGCTCGCCAAGGCCAGGCACCAAGTGGTGTCATCAGCAGCCAGGAAAGAAACGGCACAGGGACTTTTGAGGTGAGGGAAGGAAGATGCAGGAGGTTTCCAGAAGTCACAACTTTGGGTCCTGACCTCCTGTGCAATGGAGCTGTTATGAGGAGAGGAAAAGCACAGTGGTGTTTTTTGTGTCTGAGAGCTAGCTTTCATCTGCAGCCCTTTTACCTTCTCTGCGTGCTTTCCTGAGCAAGAACACCCCGGAGCCCTTGAAGGGGCTGAAGTGTGCTCAGAGGCCAGCAGCCAGGCAGCGTTTCAGCCTGCTCCCAAGTGCCCATCTGACAAAATAAAACCTCCCGGTGCCTGTTTCTCCCCAGGCTGAGTGCCCTGTTGTGCAGGCCTGCGCGCTACCGACCTGCCTCCTCGTCATCAGAGTCCGACACGTTGCCCTCCGCGATCCGCTTCTGCCTGACGTAGTCGAGGAAGAACCGCTCCATTTCCTGGCTCGAGAGGACCTGTCCTTCCGCGTCCTGCCCTCGCGGGCTCTCCTCGCTGCAGGGCGTTCCGAACCACCGCACTGCAAAAGAGGCACCGGGGCATCACGGAGCAGTCGAGCCCCCCGCCCGCAAGTCAGTGAGGTACCGCGGATTGCCTGGGAGAACAACGGGACCTAAATCTCCTGGGAGTGACCGGCAGTGCGGGGCACCGGCTGTCCAACCAGCGCTCCTGCCAGGACTAGAGCCATCCTTTCAGAACGGGCACAGGCTGCTGGGGTCCTGCAGTGCTCAAGGCCAGAGGAACTGGAAAGTGCTTGTGCAGAGCGGCCACTGTCACCACACTCTGCCCAAGAGCTGGGTCACCGCTCRCGCTGTCACCTGCTGCCTACACATCTACCTGAAAGCGCCCTTGCAAGCCCCAGTATGAGCTGCAGGGCCAGAGGCCAGCACCCTTAGTGGAAGCACGGCAGAATTATGCAAGGTAAATGTCATTTAGATACCTAAAGCTGCCATTAACGAGTAGAGGACCCTGAGGAAGGTGGACACCTGGCTATCGTAAGACTGATCAAGTGCAGACAGGACATCCTGGATGACATCTTCCACCAGCGGCAGCAAGCTGGCATCCGAATGCCTCAGCATCGTGTCCAGGACGCGGGAAGCGTGCGGCTGATGTGCCAACTGGCGCAAGTTCAAGGAAATCCCGTTCACCAGATAGTCAGAGTTCTCATTAATCAAGCACTGCATGGAGTCRTAACCGCAGGCCTCACATATGTCTATGAGCGTCCCCATTGCTGTCTCGCTGATGAGCAGAGTCTTGTCACCGGCCTTTTCCAGCACAGGGTACAGAGCTGAGAGCAGGAGCAGGCGGAAGCCCTTCCCCAGGACGGCAGCAAAGCAGCCGATCCCTTCCAGCTGGATACAGATCTGCCAGATGTTGCCGTTCATGGTGCGGGTTGAGAGGTGCGGGTCCGAGGCTGGAAGGAGGAGGCTGCCGCGGGCGCTCCCCGGCCCGGCAGGACACCCTGGGTGCTGCACGGAGGAGTCGGCACCAGCCTCTTCCATATCAATACTCGTGACCAAATACCAGTTTGCCTGGTCTGTGTATTCATCCAGGATGGAGGTTATGCTCCCTGTGAGGTCGTCCATGCTCACGGAGCCCTCCCTTTCGCGAAGGGCCTCCACGCCCAGCCCCGCCGCGCCGGCGACGACCTCGTTGAGGACCATGGCCGCCTGCCGCCGGTACGCGGCCGACTCCGCGTACAGCCCCATGAAGTGATCCACCAGCAGGTAGAGGTTCCCGTAGTAGCCCAGCACGCGGCACACCTGCTGCAGGAGCAGGAAAACCCTCTCCTCTGTGAAGAAGCGGAAGTATTTCCTGTGGGGCCTGCCCTTCTGCAGGCCGCCCGCGGGCTCGCGCGYGCTCGCGCAGCCCCCGCGTCGCTCCTCGACAACCTTCACGTCCGTCACGTCCAGCTCCAGCACTTGCATCAGCGCCTTGGAGACGCGCTGGAGGTGCGCTGCCGAGTTGAGGACGATGTTAATCCTGGTGCCCAGGAGCTTCAGATAGCCGAGAAACAAGCTCAAGGTCGCAAACTTGCCCTGGTCGTCCTGGGAGTTCATGAGGCGCGGCAGGGCCGTGGCGAGGGCGTGCAGGTTCTCTGACAGCACGTCGGCCAGCGCCCTGCTGCCCGTGACGAGGCCCTGCTCGGCGACGCTCTGCAGCACCTCGCGGCACCGCCTCTGCACTTGGTCGCTTTCGTCGTTCACCAGCCCCACCGCGGCCTTGAGCAGGTGGGCGAAGGAGTCCACGAGCGACCGCCTGCACTTGTGCGCCAGGTGGGAGACCAGCTCCACCAGCTCCAGCCGCACTCTCCAGTGYGGGTGAGCGGAACACACCTCGACGATCTTGCGCAGGAGCAGCGCGAGCTTCTCCGCGGTGCTCTGGCTCCACTCGGGTCCTCGGTGGACCATGAGCTCTGCTATTCTGCCCTCCACCTCCAGCGGCTTCTCCGGGGTCTTGGGGACCCTCTCCAGCTGCTCGTCGGCCATGACGAAGCCGACTACGTGCCCGAAGAGCCTCAGGGCGGCCGCGGTGGGCGCGTGGCCCTGCTTGGCGTCGGCGGTGGCGATGCGGGCGAGCGCGAGCGCCGTGCCGGGCAGGAAGGCGGCGAAGAGCTGCCCGCAGCGCTGCGCCTCGCGGGGCGGCAGCGGCGCGTGC